GATGTCTTGGAAGACAGATAGATAGATAGATAGATATTTTTTCCTCCTAAGCCAGGCTTCCCCTTCAGTCTACATAAGCCGCCTCTGACTTCCACTGAAGTGTGCAAGAGCTTCAGTCAGTGAAGACAACTCATGGAGCCTGCATTTCTGGAGGAAGATGGCAAGATACAGGTCTTGTAATGAACCAGACACCAACAGTTTGTGGCCTTTAGCTGATTTTAAAAGATGCTGGGTTCCCTAGCAAAATGTGGTTAGGATTTTGTCATTTCCAAGTATTCAATGCTCCATTAACCAGAAAAGTCAAGTTAACATTGTAGTATACTAATGATTGAATTGTAACAGGTCATATTTATGTCCATCCATGTCCATTGTTACATTATTTGATAAGTAATCATCCAGACTCTTCTTTCCAGTTAATCTTATGGTATAAATGGATATATTTGCAAAGGGCCTAATTATCATAATTTTAGCCAAATAGTTTCATGTATTAAAGATCCACAGCTTAGTCAGTATGCCCAGGCTCAGAGATGAATTTCTCAGGAGTGGATTATGTCAATCTATGGGAGTACTTCCTATTACAGACCTTCAGAGATAACCTACACAATCCCATCAGTGGCCTCTGGGCATGCAGTTATTTTTTAGGTATAGATGATATGCTACACTAACTAAGCCACCTACATTTCTATGTTTGCAAACATTATAGATGTGTATTTTTTTTTCTTTCAAACATAATATCTGCAATTTCTGTATCTGTCACTGGTAGATGCATTGTTACTTAGGGTTGTATAAGAAAAAGAAAGTCCTACTTAAGCCTTGAATATTTTTATGCACAATCAGCAATTTGTGCTTCTTCCTTTAAAAATAATCAACTAAAGAAACATGAATTTATGCATGAACAGCAGAGAAATAGATGCATCTGTAACCATACTTAAAATAAACATTTAGGCATAATAATGTTTATAATAATTATAAGCTCTTTCAGTTATGGAAGGCCTCATTTGTGCCAGAGCCCGCTGGGCCATTTATGTATTTTATCACTAATCCCTGTAACCACTGGTAGGCAGAACTGGAGGGAACTGGGGCTGGGAGAGAGAATTCAGCTAGTAGGTACTGAGGAGGGAGTCATCTCATCTGTCCCAGGACCTAGAGCCTGTGTCTTTCTGCTCACCCATTTCCTTCAGCTGTGTACAAAATGCTATCTTCTTGCTCTAATTTCTTGTCCTTTCTCTCTGTTTAATGCATTTAGCCTCCAATTCTCCAGTCTTTGTATATCAACTGGATCATCTTTCTGGACCTTCCTAGGTACACTTGGTACACCTGACTTTTCTTTGAGCTTAGACTGTAAACCTGCCACTTGGAATGCTGAGGGCCCTCATTACTACATGTGCCCTGCCACTTCCATATCAAAGTTGTTCATGACCTGGAGAAGACTGGTGAACAGTTCTGTCAAGAACCGCTCTTGGCTTTCCAAAAATGAGGTAGGGAGGAAGAGCATGAGAAGAAAATTACCTCTAGATAGGGAAGAGAGGTGGGACGGAAAGGGAGGGAGAATGGGAATTGCATGGAAGAGGGAAGGAGACCCCCTTTGTTATACAGAATTCAGGTATGACGATGTAAGGGGGAAAAAAAAGAAGTGGGTCACATTAGATTGGGTAGAGAGAAGTGATGGGAGGGGAGGAGAAGGGATGGGGGGAATGGAAGGACAGAAGAATAAAATAGACATTATTATTGCTGTGGGTATAAATGTGACTGCATGACCAATGTAATTCTGCAACCTGTACACTCAGAAAAATGAGAAGTTATATCCCATCTGATTCAAATGTATGATCTGTCAAGGTCATTGTACTGTCATATGTAACTAATTAAAAAAAAAAAAAAGCCCAAGCTCATGGTAAAATATCACATAGTATCCTCCTCTGAGTGCTCTTCCTGTGGTTATAAAATCTTCCAAAGTCGCTCTTTTGCTTTTCTTTAAAATAAACAGGTTAATTACAATTTTACAATCCCTGTTTCTTTCCAGCAAGTCCAAACAATAGACCTAAGAAATAAGAATAAGTGGTGTTTACTTTAAAACCAATGTATTAGGATGTTTTTCTTTTTGAAGATTTGTATGTCTTACATATTATATTTTCAAAAGGATGTTGGGAGACTAAATGGTTAAAGAAAATTAGCATCTGGTTAAATATTTGGTACCTCTCTGACTAGTCTTTTAACTGTTTTTGATTATTCCAAGTCATAATGTTTTTTACTGAGCTGACTAAACTATTCCAATATAACTTAGATTACTTTTTAAACTTACAGACAAAAATTCTTTCCTGAGGTTTTAGACCAGTTTCTCATCTGTCCTGTTGGCTCTCCTCATCTGGCAGGGCTTTTCCTCTAATCAAACAATGATTTCTCTTTACAAGTAGGGTTTTAATTTGCCATTCTAACTCTTCTTTCTCCTCTTTTGCAATTAATCCAAAAGAAGGAATGTACTTTCTTCTCAACAAGATAGGGTGGCTGCATCATTCTAGCTATTAAATCTGGCTTAAAATTGGAATATTATAGAGTCCTTCTTTAAATAAAGTTACCATAGCAATTATCTCTCACTGAAATTAGATGGAAGACAGCTTTTATGATGAAAAAAAAAAAATACTAGGCTCAGAGACAAAGACTTGATTGCAAACTTGGCCTTGTTACTAGCTTATACCCATGAACAAAAGTTATGTAACGTCTCTGAACCTCAATTTCTTGTTTATAATTTGGGGGCATTAAATTAGATATTTAATTCCAGTGGATTTTCTAAGAATTTATTGAGATGAGACCATGCCTGGCACCTGATTTATTCACTGCATTAAAAAATTAACATTTTCTTAAGAGCTTATACAATTACTATTATTACTATTACTACTATTAAAAAAATAAATCTCTTGTTAATACATAAATGAAAAAGACATGAACATACAATTCACAAAAAAAGAAAAATAGTTATTAAACATTTGGGAGATGTTTAAACTCATAGCAATTAAATAAATTCAGACAAAAACATTGAGATATTGTTCTCTTATTAAATTATCACTAAGAAAGACATAATTCTAGAATTTTCACTTGGTTGAGCTCACTGTCAATAAATGCATCAATTACATACCATACCTTTCAATCTGGGAATTCTGTTTCTGGGATTCTCCTAAGGGAATATTCCAAAGTATGGACAAACAGATCTATAAACATGACAATAATTATTTTAATACTACTGATGAGCTTAATAAACCTTAAAAGGTCTGAATTTATAATGGATTGAGTTATGATGGACTGTTTTGCAGCTATAAAGAATTAAAATTTGCTGAGTGGCATGTAAAAATATCATAAAATGTGCACATATAAGCAATATTAAAAATACATTTTTAAACTACTTGGAAAAATAGAACAAAATGATAATTATGTTGGAATATTATAGTTTCTGTTTCTGGAATATTATGTTTCTGTTTCCCTAGAACTTTTGTAAGGTTAATATTAACTTTAAGGTTCAAATTGGTCTTAGTTTAAATATATCTAGTCTGATAAAAACTTTGAGTGCCTATTCTGTGTCTAGAAAAAGTGTTATAGCTGTTACAGCATTCGGGAAAATGATCAAGTCTTTACTCATTTTTACTCCAGGGCAATGTAGCTCAGTGGCTCAGCATCCCTCCTTTCAATCCCTAGAATCCAAAAAAAAGTGCTAGGGATGTGGCTCAGTGGTAAGGTATTTGCCTAGCATGCATGAGGCCCTATGTTCCATCCCCAGCATGGGGAGAAAAAAGAAAGAAAGAAAAGGGGACAATAAGAAAGTCAAAAAATGTGCTTAGTGGATTATTTAAAGTAAGTGCTTCATATACAACCTAGGATTGCAGGTGCTATTGTGAGTAGCCTAAGCATTTAATGGCAGGCTGTCAGCCCAACCCTGTTTAATACAATGGCATTCCCAGGTAGTCACCTGCTTCAGGACACAGTTCAAAATTAACTTACTATACTATTAAGGTAATTCCACAGAGGAAAACTGGAAGGATATCAGGTGATGTATGTTTACTGGAACATCAATGTAAGACTGAACAGAGCCTCTCAATCCTGTGTCCAGTAGTAACTGGATTGATGTAAACTAGACAAGATTGTTTGGCAAGTAATACAGCATTGTTTTTAGTTGAAATTTTTATTGAGAGAATTTTGTAAAGTCACATGTAGTATGTATGTGTTTGTGTATCCACCATCACAGGTTAGACATTGAACAATTCCATCAACATGAGGATCTCTCCTGTTATCCTCTGTAAGCATACCTTCTCTCCCTTCCCCAACATCCCAGGTCCTGGCAATCACTACTCTTTTCTCTCTTTGTAAAATTCTGTCATTTCAAAATGTTCTGTAAATGCAGTTATACAGTATATAACCTTTAGAGATTGACTTTTTAAACTCAGCATAATTCACTAGAGAATCTTACAAGTGTTGGTATGTATCAACGATTTGCTGCTTTTTATTGCTGACTATTAGTATTCCATGTATGGATCTGCCATTGTGCTTAAACATTCACCTGAACTGATTTCAGATTTTGACTATTAAAATGTTCTGGTTTCCATAAACTTTCATGTACAGGTTTTTATGTGAATGTAAGTTTCTGTTTTTCTGGGGCAAATTCCAAGGCTGCAATTTTTGGGTCATATAGTAATTTCATGTTAAATTTTAAAGGAAACTTTTTTCAGAATGGCTATTCCATGTTATATCTCCCCCAACAATGTATAAAATATTTGGTTTCTTTGCCAGTTTTTTTGTCATGTGAAGCCTTATTTTGAATTCAAATTTGTGACAGTCTTCTTCATTTGAATTAACCAAATGATTTTGCTAAAGAGACCCATGTGGAGTGACTAGATTTAGAAAGAAAACGCCCATCAGGACCCATTAGAAGCTGTCTTTTCCCTGCTCCCAACACACAAAAACTTTGTTTATTTAATTCTTCTCCTATCACCTTTCTTTTCCTTTTTCATTTCTAGCTTCCACGAATGAGAGAAAACATACAACCCCCTTCACTTATAAACTCACTGTATATGGTATATCAAATTAAAAAGTTGCACATCAGAGGAAGCAATCAACAGAGTAAAGAGACAACCTACGGAACAGGAGAAAATATATCCCCACTATTCATCTGACAAAGAGTTAATATCTGGAATATTTAAAGAACTCAAAAAATTTAACAATAAAGAAATCCAAGTAAAAAAATGGGCAAATGACCTGAGTAGGTACTTCTCAATAGAAGAAATACAAATAAAACAAATTTACAAAAAAATGTTCAATGTTATTGACAGGGAAATGCAGATCAAAACTACAGTAAGGTACTGCCTCACCCAAGTAAGAATGGCTGTTCTAAAATAATAATAATAATAATAATAATAATAATAATAATAATAATAATAATAAATGCTGTCAAGGATGTGGAGCAAAAGGAATTCTTATTCATTATTGGTAGGGATGCAAATTAGTATAGCCACTATAGAGAATAGTATGGGGGTTCCTTAAGAAACTAAAAACAGATCTACCATATGATCAAATGGTAGATTTGATCTCTCTTCCTGGTATCTATCTAAAGGAATTGAAATCAGCATAACAAAGAGATAACCAAAGGTCTGTTTTTATTTTGGCACTATTCACAATAGCTAGGGTATGGAATCTGCCTAGGTGCCCATTATGTTAAATAAAATAAGCTGGACATAGAAAGACAAGTGCCACATGTTCTCTCTCGTATTTGGAAGCTTTAAAAAGTCCACCTGAAAGTAGAATAGTGATTACTAAGGACTGGGAAAGGGGAAGAGTAGGCCAAGGGTGGTTGGATTTGATCAGTGAATGCCATATGCACATATGGAAACATTACTCTGAACTCTATTAGTATATACCATTATTACATGTTTTTTTTTTTTTTTTTTTTAAAGAAATGGGTCTGGGCTTAATTTGATTCTTCCTCTCATATTTGACAATTTTATTGTCTTCTAGAGGGGGAGGAAATGTAGTTTTTTAATTTTATTTTTTAAAAAAGGTTCTTTTGACACTCAAACCAGTGCCTTTAGTTTATACTGGTCTAGAATGCAACTCAGTTTGTTGAAGTAAAGAGAGGACCTGTGAACCCTCTTCCAATTAGCTGAATCATGTAAGTCAGATGATTTGCTCAGCATCAATGGCTCTCAAACTGTAGGGAGCAGCAGAATTACCTGGAGGGTTTATTAAAACACCATTTACTGTGCCCCTTCCCAGAGTTTCTGATTCAGTCGGTCTGGAGTGGGGAAGGATAACTCACCGTTCTAAAAAGTTCCCAAGTGCTGCCAATGTTGCTGGTCCAGAGACAACATGTTGAGAACCACTGGGCTAGACTATGCTAATGTCTCAATATCTAATATCCCCCCTCCCCAAACCCTCAAATTTGCTTTCCGATGAAAAAAATCATGTGTTTGTCCCTCCCCAACTCAATAAATACTGCTACATAGTGAAATATAGCAAAGCCATTAAAATTATTCTAAAAAATATTATTGTCACATGAAAATCATCACCATGTTTTATAAAGTTACATATATAGAAATGTCCAGGTATACATAGAAAATAAAAACCTAGAAAGATATCCAAAATGTTAACAGTAGTTATCCCTGAGCAATGAAGCTCCCAAAGTTGTATTTTCCTTTGTGTGTGTGTTTTTTTGTATGTTCTAACTTGTTTATAATTTATACAATCATAATCAGTTATTAAAACAGACATTATAGTAGGTAATGTAAGCCTTAATTTTTCCAAGCCTAACAATTGCGGTAAAGACCTTGTTGAATATCCACAACAGAAGTAAAGTTGTTTTATGAGATAAAATCATCCAAGGCAAGTTTTAAAAGTAGCTATGACTTTCTTCAGTCCTTTCCCTAAAAAGTGTGGTGGATCACCTGGTCCATTCTTTCTACTTCACAGAGTTCTGTACTTGGGCACCCAGGTAGTCTTGACCTCAGAGCCCCTCGTTAGCATCTCATTACTGATTACATAATATTTTCATGGAATTTTCTCACTTTTGACCACAGGGATCTTCAACCACAATCTCACAAATTATTCTCTACTTTATCCTTGATACAATGGGTCAGAAAGTGTTTTATCTGGATGAACTTTCTTCTTTGGCTGGATCTCTTTTAAAAGAATTTATATTTTTAGCTAAATTAGGAATTTATTATCACTGAAATAAACCTGTTTAAATGTCAGAAAGCAGTCATCTGCTATAGAAAATTATTTTGTTCCCAGTAGGAAGGTTCATGTACCCTCCTGGGATTTCCAATTTTGCTGATATCCTAAGTATATCTGTTTCTTCAACACTTAACATGGCTTCCTTTAAAAATGATATATTAAAATAGTTTTGCTGCTGAAGTCTCCTTTCCTCAAAAAATGGAAGATATTCAAATAAATTTATTCTATAGACCTCCAGTAATTCTGTTTCTGACTAAACTTGTTTGGGGAGGGGGCATGTCACCAGTAGGTAGCACAGTGATAATTTTCAAAACATCTCTCTAGTCCAGAGCTACAGTGGTACCACTGTTCTCATTTGCCAAGTTTGCACTTTGATAATCCACAGAAAGGAGGAAGAAAAAGAGCTTTTAAGGGGATGTGGCTCAGTGGTCAAGTGTCCCTGAATTCAATCCCTGGCACCCCCCCAAAAAACAACAAAAGCACCTTTTAAATTTATGGGTGATAATATCATAGTTTATTTGTTGAGGGGGTACTGCTTTATATCATGCATTTCTCCACCCACCATATTAGTACAGTTATTTCCTGACAAATATGTTTTGTGCTTGAGGCAGTATATTTTTATGTAATACCTGAAGACTTGCCATATAAATGTTTGCTCCATGGGTTGCCAAGGTTAGCAGTGTTTCTCATATTGGAAGTGTCACTGCTGGGTTTCAATCTGGGTGTCCACTGAGGAACATGGCTCGGCTTAGCTTAACTGTTTCCCAAGTAGATGAGAATCAACAGCCTGTTAAGTTATAGGTACATTATCATAGTGTGTCCATGACTTATAAAAATTCCCACTTGAATCAAAGTGTGAAATATGATATATCAAGAACTATGTAATGTTTTGAACAACCAACAATAAAAAAATTAAAAAAAAAATTAAAAAAAAATTCAAAATGATGGTTTCACTTGCAAACCTCCGTCTCCCTTTTTCCTTGCTTTTTAAAAGTTCTTACAGAACTTGGGCAGAATCTATGGGTTTGGAAGGCTGCACTTATGTTCCTTATTCTACTGTTTTGGCCCCTGGTTAAGTACACATATATTTGTTGCCAGTTTAAAGGGACTGGGTCTTATTCCTCATTGGGCTGCTTGTCACATTTTTGGTCTTTTGTTCTGTCCTTCCTGTTTGCCTGTGATTCCTTTATCAAGCCAGTATCTTTCCATGGGAATAAGTATGTGCCAAGCTCTGCTCCAGGCCAGGTTTTATTGTGCTCCCCCCCCCCAGAATTCATAATTAAAATAATAATTTCCTCCTTCAGGGTACTACTTCAGAAGTCTCTCTTCCTTTCATAACTCAAGATGTTTCTTTCTCCTGGCAGCTGTTAGGCATCCATCTCAAATTTATCCCACCTAACTAGAATCATCTCATTACTTGACCAGCTCCCCTATTCCTATGTTAGCATCAGGAGGGAGACCCTTCTCCTCAGTGTGGTCCCTGACTGGGACATGGAAGGTACCTAACCACTAGTGAGTGAAGCCAGCCTGCCCACTCTGAGAGAGGAATACTTATGCTATTTATCCAATGCAGAATGTTGGATCCAGGTACCATCAACACTGGCCTGCTCAATGCTGAATTACTGACTTAGTAAAAACTACTTAATTTCAATATTATTTTTAGGGTCAAAATATATTTGATAAATGCTATAAAGTCAGGTATTTTATGATTTTTGTATTTACATTTATATTATATATTTTATTTTGTGAATGATGCTTGTATCGTAAAAACTGGATATTACAATAAAATGTATATTTTACCATATAAAGCATAGAATGTAAGCTCTCCTTTTCTATGTAATAAAGGCAGTCCATTTCAGAACACAACTTAGAACATGAGCTGTATCTAGGAAAAAACACAAATTAAAATGAAAAGTAAGGGCAACCTGCTTTTAGACAACCCCTTCGCCTCGTCATCGAGACAGCTTTGCAGCGGGGGGTTGCAAGGAGAAGATACACTGACTTAACCTTGAGTGATGGGAGTTTACTGTGGAAGGAAGGCTGACCGGAATCTCCACCACTCAGCCACGTGTCTCTGAAAAGCCTTCCGGAAAGGCCACTGGGCCAGGCCTCACGAAAACTGGATTGAAGTTCAGGAACTAGAAGGTCATTCAGGATACGGCTCTGGGACTGGGTTATCTCGCTGCCCCCTCAGTGGCAGGCATCTGCTGGCCCTACTAACAGGCTTAACCACCAAGACAACAATCACGAAAGCATTGGGGAGAAGAAGGAGGAGGAGGAATAAGAAGAGGAGAACACAAGAGGAGAAGGTGGAAGAGGAAAGAGAGAGGATTTGCATGGGGAATCAAGATGCCTATGTCCTGATTCTTTTGAAGAGCATCTAGAAGATGGCGGCGAGGGGAGTGCATTGCCCCCGTGTGCTGCTTCACTGTGTGGGAGTATGACAAGTCAGGACGGCTAAAGGATATCTTGTTAGGAATTTCCAGCAATAGTGGGGTGCTCCGGAACCTGGAGGAAGGATTTCCATCGCACGAGGATCGGCTACGGGGACTCAAACGCGAGAGGTTTGTCGCACGGAGGGTAACACTGCTTATTCAGCAAATCGCCCCGCGGCTAGAGTCTGCAGCGCGCGCTGGGAAACGAGGAGATAGCGACGCAGGGATACAGCGCTGCAGTTTCTGCCAGCCGTGCAAGCACCGTACTCAGGGCTGAATTCTGGGTTCGAGACGGGGGAAGGAAGCGGTCCATCTCGGTTCTCCACACCAGTCAGACCACAGAGGAGGCCAGCAGCCACCATGTTGGAAAGCTGACGTCACCATCCCTGTTTTCGACTGACCGCAGCTCATTCAGCCATAGAACAGGTAATTTCAGGCTGCCATTCGCCTGCTGCTTGCAGACAGATTGCTAGGGTTCAGTGCCTGGGTGCTTCTTAGAACCTGATCTTATCGGAGCGAACACCGAGCGCGGGGCGGCTGAGTTCCAGCTCCCGGAACCGCCCTGGCCCAGGGCTGCGGAGCCTGCGGAGGCTGCTTCTTGGACCCTGCTCCTATCAGAGCATACACCAAGCACTAAGCGGCCGAATTCCGGCTCCCGGAACTGAGCCCGCGGGGACTGCTTCTTGGAGCCTACTCTTATAGGAGCTTACACCGAGCACGGAGCGGCCGAGTTCTGGCTCCCGGAACTTCCCTGGACCGGGGCTAGGAGCCCGCGGAAACTGCTTCTCGGTCCGGGTCCTGCTGAGGGCCGGTCAGGACTCACCCGTTGCTTTGGTTGCCCGGCAAGGGAAACAAAATGCTGCCATTCGCATAGGATACCAACATGGCAGAGATCTGATGTCATCAGAAAGCGGCGGAGGAGAGAACTTCATCAATACCAGCGGCGACATAAACAGTTGGTCTCCTGGTAAGGGGGGTGAGGCAGAGACACCCGAGTCTCCTCAATTTGTCGTCGAGCCAGAGGGGAGGAGCCGGGCCGCCGCCAGCGCCCGGAGCAGGCCCAGCGGCTCGCCAGTGTGGTGACCGCGTGACCCCAATTGGAGAGGGGGCGGAGCGGAGCCGCCACCCGCACCCGCAAGGTGGGCAGACCCGCGACCCAGTGGTACATGGGCGTGGTAGGAGGGGCAGGGCAGAGCCGCCGTTCGCGCTTGCAAGGTAAACAGACCTGTGACACCCTGGCGGGTCAGGCCCAGTGGCCTGCCAGTGTGGTACACACGTCACCCCAACTGGAGTAGGGGCAGAGCAGATCCTTCTCCCACGCCCGGATCAGGCCCTGCCGGTGTGGTGGTCACGTGACCCCAATTGGAGTGGGGGCGGAGTAGAACCGCCACCCGTGCCCGCAGGGTGAGCAGACCTGTGACCAACCTGCAGATCAGGCCCAGGGGTCCGCAGACGTGGTAGGAGGGGCAGGGCAGATCCGCCGCCCGCGCCTCCAAGGTAGGCAGACCTGCAACAGACTGACGGATCAGGCCCAGGAGCCTGCCGGCGTGGTACACACACCACCCTAATTGGAGTAGGGGCAGAGCAGAGTCGCCGCCCGTGCCAGGAACAGGCCCAGCGTCCTGCAGGTGGGGTAGTCACGACACCCCAATTGGAGTAGGGGCAGAGCAGAGCCTCCACCTGTGCCCGAAAGGTGGGCAGATCTGCGACCGACCAGCGGGACAGGCCCAGTGGCCTGCCAGTACGACAGACACGTCACCCCATTTAGAGTAGGGGTAGAGTAGAGCCGCCGCCCGCGCCTGCAGGGTAGGCAAACCTGCAACCGACCGGCGGATCAGGTCCGGTGGCCTGCCGGCGTGGTACACTCGTCACCCCAATTGGAGTAGGGGCAGAACAGAGCCGCCGCCAGCGCCCAGAACAGGCCCAGTGACCTGCCGGCGTGGTAGCCACGACACCCCAATTGGAATAAGGAGAGAGCAGAGCCGCCGCCCGCGCCTGCAGGAAAGATACGCAAGCAGTATGAAAAGACAAGGAAAGAAAGGACCACAAGCAATGCAGGTCAACGCAACTTTAGAAGAGGTAACAGCTGCAGCAGATGGAATGTCAGATAAAGAATTCAGGATATACATGCTCCAGATGATCTGAAGTATCAAGGAAGACATTAAACAGCAAAATCAGAAAATGAAAGATCACTTCGACAATGAATTACGCAAACAAATCCAGGAAGCAAAGGATCAACTATACAGGGAGATAGACGTTATAAAAAACAAACAAACAGAAATCCTAGAAATGCAGGAAGCAATAAACCAACTTTAAAACTCAATGGAGAATACTACCAGCAGAGTAGAACACTTAGAAGATAGAACATCAGACAATGAAGACAAAGTATTTCAACTGGAAAAGAACATAGACAGCTCAGCAAGACTGTTAAGAAACCATGAGCAGAACATCCAAGAAATATGGGATAACATTAAGAGACCAAACTTAAGAGTCATTGGGATACAGGAAGGTACAGAGCTCCAAACCAAAGGAATGAGCAGTCTATTCAATGAAATAATACGAGAAAACTTCCCAGACTTGAAGAATGAGACAGAATCCCAAATCCTAGAAGCCTACAGGACGCCGAATGTGCAAAATCATAAGAGATCCACACCTAGACACATTATAATGAAGATGCCCAACATACAGAATAAGGAGAGAATTTTAAAAGCTACAAGAGAAAGGAAGCAGATTACATTTAGGGGTAAGCCAATCAGGATAACAGCTGATCTTTCAACACAGACTCTGAAAGCTAGAAGATCCTGGAATAACATATTTCAAACACTGAAAGAAAATGGGTTCCAACCAAGAATTGTGTATCCAGCGAAATTAAGCTTCAGGATGGAAGATGAAATTAAAACCTTCCACGATAAACAAAAGTTTAAAGAATTCGCAGCTAGAAAACCATCTCTTCAAAACATCCTCGCCAAAGCATTACAGGAAGAGGAAATGGAAAATAACAATGAAAACCAACAGTGGGAGGTAGGACAGTAAAGGGGGGGAAAATAATCAAAGAGGAAAACAAACCATGTTTAGTAACAGAAATAAACAAATATGGCCGGAAGAACAACACATATCTCAATAATAACCCTAAATGTTAATGGCTTAAACTCACCAATTAAGAGACACAGGCTAGTAGAATGGATCACAAAACAAGACCCAACAATATGCTGCCTACAGGAGACGCATTTGATAGGAAAAGACATACATAGGCTCAAGGTGAAAGGTTGGGAAAAATCATATCACTCATATGGACTTCGGAAACAAGCAGGAGTGTCCATACTCATATCAAATAAAATAGATTTCAAGCCAAAGTTAATCAAAAGGGATAAAGAGGGACACTACATACTGCTTAAGGGAACCATACACCAACAAGACATAACAATCATAAATATTTATGCCCCAAACAATGGTGCAGCTATGTTCGTCAAACAAACTC